AGAAACTGATATTTTCCAGTTCCTTCGTGCATCGGCCTAGCGGATCACATGGACGTTTTTACAGGCTCTAGCTCTTCGTTCGCCACAATTGGAATGGAATTGCGGTTTCGATTGCTACTGAAATTCCCTCAAGTAGTAGCGTCGATTTTAATGGTGAAAACCGGTGTCTTGTCAATCGACATCTTTATCATTAAAGTGACTTACGTCTCTTCCAGCTCTTAAAGCTATACACATCTAGAAACGTGCATCCCCATTACGTAAATGATGTCTGAAATATGAAATCAATTTGCACCTATCGCATTTTGGGGGGATGGCACTAGCAGTCTTGAAGTCACTTTTAACCACCCAAAATGGCCAGGTTCGTATTCAAGTTGTTGGAGGAGTTACGGAGGTTCATCATTGACAACATTGCAAGATCATTAGCTCTCAGTTTTACACCGCTAATTCCATTGACAAGAGATCCTATTTTGTGTGCTTTTCACTAATTGATAGCCCTCCAGCCTATTCGTTTGAGGACAGACACGCAAGACTTGCTTTTTTGATGCTTAAGCTCCAACGGAGGGCATGAATTGCGAAAGATCCGTCTTGCTTGCATTGCTACCCACAGGGGCTTAACTTATTTGCTCCTGCGACTGGTCTATTTGTCTACCAACCGCCATCTCGACAGTGCAGATCTACTTGGTGGAGTTGATAAGACGACGCTGCGAGTTTGGAACTTCATTCGAGCATGGATGAGAACCGTCCTTCAGAATGTATTGCTCTGTGAATTTTAATGCAAAGTTAACTCTTCGCCTTGGCAAAATGGCCGCCAAGTTGTGTAACACTGAATGGCAGATGACTTAATTGCAGTTTCGTGGTCAGTCCCTCCCCCCTCATCATCTAACTGTACTCATTGTCATGGCGACAAGTAGACCTTGTCGAACGTGCCGAGTCTTGTGCCGTCCACCAGAGTAGTCAAGCTAATTTCTAGCATCGCACCGATGACATGGTACCGAGTTACAACTCTTCACTTGTCAGTTCGGCGAGTGGTAAATTTGTGCTAAGGATGCCGACTACGCGGTCGAAAAATCTTTTAGGAGTGCACCAAT